CCCAGTAAGTGATCATTTCAATCATTTCTCAATCAATTAATTGCTCCCTAAATGCTAAATGTGTCCCAGTAGCATACTAATAAAGTACATGCAATGTATTACAGTTGACAATGCAACATTTTGGAGTTAGTCCAATAACAATTACGTGTACTTTTCCTTTCTATACTGACATGAGTATACAAGTCAAGTCACAACTTCAATCGGCGGCTTAAACATTTGAAAAGTTCATAAATAAAAAGAAAAACTTTTTCAATATATTTTTAACTTTGTATTTTTAAATATGTTGCTGAAGCTGTCACACCATCCTCAGCATTTTCACTTTTTATTCTGCTTTGTCATTTCCAGTGTGTGATGGATTGTGGGACATTGTAAATCAAAACCACAATCAGAAATATGACTTTCATGTGAATTCCATTATTTATTTTGCCACCGTGAAAGAACTACATACTCAATCCACAGTTAGAAAGAGTTAATCGTAGTCAGTAGTTTGCTATCTGGACACAAGAACAGTTTATACTACACTCACAGTGCAATGAGGATCTAAGGGAGGGTTCTTCCAATCAGGTTCTTACCGGTATTTCCTTTGACCAATCAGCTGGGAGTAGAGCGAATTTCACTTCCTCATTCATGCAATATTAGTAGTCTCCAGAGTGGCTCTGCAACAATAACTCCACATGCAATATTGATGGCTTGTGTCTAAACGCAGAGAGGGAGCTGCTAAACACAAACACGCGTACCAACACACAGGCAACACACACATCTGTTGCGTGACTTCATCAGTTCTGCTATCGGCCGAGCAGATGCAGAGGCCTGCCAGGCAATTAGTTGCCTGCGATGATTTTCTTTGAGCCCTCTATGGAGGGAGCAGCTGGGTCCACCCGGGTTTAGGAGACAGCAACAAAATGTGCATCAAAATGTACTCGCTCAGTTCACATGTGTGCCGATGTCGGTCTATGTGCACATATGCATGTGTTGTTAGGTACTAAGCCACTCTGCCAGCACCGATCATGTTTCCAGACAGAGGAAAAGGGAAAAAGAGCATGTACCTAAAGATGCCAAGCCTCAACACCCCCCCCTCCCTTATCACTCACTTGGAATTACAAATTACAAAGCACACTAAGCCAAAACGGGAAAGGGAGGAAACTTTCTATTGCCTTCTTCAAATATCTTCTAATGTCCTACCAAGCCATAAAATATAATGTTTAGAGAAGTATTGCAAGGACCACTGTTATTGTAAGTATATTGTATTTGTCACATGTACAGTATAGTACTGTCAACAAGTAGATGAACAAGACTGACCAAATTATGACTGAAACTCAAATTTTCTACAATGTTTTTTGACATTCATGAAACAGAATCGTCACATAAAAGGGAGCAAATATGTTTCAAATATGTTTGAAAGACAAATGCCGTCTTTGAGGTTGTTTTACCGATTGTAAACCCTCTAATGGAAACAGTGTAGTGTACACAGTACTGAGCCACCTGGGGCTACTCAGTGTAATCTGGTAGGAGGGAGAGTGAAAAGAGGAATAAAGCAGAGACCGTAGGACCGATGGCCAGAGCAAGGACAGAAGAAGAGAAAAACGAAAGATGAGAGGCAGTGAGGTTTACTCATCAGCTGGCAGAGATTTGCACTGGCATGGACACTGTTTTGTGCTCGGGAGGGGATCACCGTGGAGTCGTCACACAGACTCAGATCAAAGAGCTCTCTGACAGGCCCCTGATCTTTTCTCCAGTCAATATTAACTGGGGGGGGGGACTCTTCAGGAACCACAGATAATTCTCAACGTTTTCAGTAGATAAAGGGCACAAAGAAGCAGCAAGAATGTATGAATGAATGAGGTGGCCTTTGTCATTATTGTATATATGCTTACTATAAAAAGGGGAAAAGGGGAATAATTTGAGAAGAAATAGATGGAATAAAAACTATCCCAAAGGCCCCCAAGTTCCTCCCGGCCTCCCGGGTATTGTGTGCTGACCCTACTTCTGTTTTCCACCTACGACTGTAAGGCACACGAAAGGTACATACAGTTTTCTGAGATAAGGCTGACCTTTACATTTTAACTCGTAAAAATAGATCTCATAAAGTCCACTGTATCCAGTCTATTCTACTTTGCAATAAAACAAAAATGAATACAGTTACTGGGAACATGTGGTTTGAAAGTTACACCAAAACTGATTCATTATGTGTTTTGCCTGCCGTTGTAGATTTCATTAAATTACTGTTAGCATGTCCTTCATAATATTTGGACACTTGCTCTCCAAGTCGATTAATCTCTCAGGAGCTGTGAGCTCGGTAATAAAGAGTAAAATCAAACAGACATTTTTTTCTCAGTTACTTCTTTCGGGTTCTATCTTTTTCCTCATTATTAAACATTAAGATAACTCACGTTTTACTTGAGTAAGATGCAGAGGAAAGGAATGCCAAATCTTAGTTTAACCAAGTAAAATTTTAATTATTGACTGAAAATAAGTAAATTGTTGCTTTTCTTGCCAGTTTCTCTCGATACTCCAGTAGTTCTAGGAACAATATCCAAATAGATGGTGTGCGTCGCTTGTCCATCAAATTCAACAGTCAGGACACACAAGCTAATACTTGTCGGTAATGTTTCACCTTGAATGTTTTTTCTTGGTGGGGAAAACTAAAGTTAAATTAATTATTCTAGATGGGCAAACAGTCCCTGCCAAGTCAAACCTAATAACAGAAAACTGTGCAGAATATTTGAATGTTATCGACATATGTTATATAATAAAATATAAAGTTTGTGTGACAAGTTACTGTCTTTCAAGAAGAAAACAAATATGATGCGATACAATAGAAATCATATTGAATGCGTTTGAATTTAAAGTGTATTTGTTGACATGAGCTCAAATATTCAGCAGGTCTTCCAAACTGAACTAAATAATAAATTCTACATTTGTTTTATCATAAGTTGCTTTACACTCCCTAAAGACTCACCAGCACTCACAAAAAGGCTACATGATGAAGTCCAGAGAATGTGTCACTATGAAGGGGGAGGGGGGCTCATTAATCTTTGCCTCTTCTGAAATGTTTGTGGCTTACTTGCATAGTTGGCTACTTCATATCAGTAAATGGGTTTCTGGAAATCATTGCTGAATCAATATTGTGCATTATGTAACATTACTGCTGTAACAAGTGTCACGACATTCATGCATATTTTATTTGTATTTAATTTGCACAAATATAGCGGTGTTTGGTTTCTATGGCCTCTGGATTGCAGTTTCAACAGGCGGGATGCAGACAGAAAATATGAAGACATTTTTCCATATAGCTATAGGTATACAGTTGACCATATTGTCTGTGATCAAGACTTCCAAGGAAGCAATTTAACATATTACAGACTGAGGTGTCATTACTGTAGGTCTGATTTATTTTCTGAAATTATAAGATTGGACTGTAGCCTATAGAAAGGTTTGAGCCTATGTCACTATGATAGTGAGGAAGTGACAGGTTTTGCTGCTCAAGAAAAGATAATCACTTGAAATGACAGCACGTATTTAACATGAGCCTTGAAAGAATAGAGACTTAAAAGTAGCGGGAAAAACTCCATTTAACTCCATATAATTTTACGCAAGACGCTTATAATGACTGCGACCTCGTTAACTGGAATAGCAGACACGCGTTAAAGGACTGTAAAGGTAACTGGCTGCAACAATACCTCGCCAAAACATTTCATAAGATTTTCACTCCGGATTATTTTTATATTCCCAGCCTGCTAAATATGTCTTGCACCGCAGCCGCTTGTCTGTGGGAGAATGTAATGACTATTTTAGTCCTCCAACATGAAGTCTGGGTGACAAGGGGACTTCAATTACACCGTTGGAGAGACCCATGGTTAAATTATTCAGCATGGACAACGTTCAGGGCGATAAACCCACGGGCAAATTACCGCGCGCGCGCTCGTGTGTGTAGATGTGTGTGTGGGAAGCCGCGGACACAAGTCTTGTTTTCAGTTATTTGGCTCAATCCAAAATATCGACTGTGTAAATAACACTAAATATTCAATTTTAAATCAATTGATTCGTGAAAAGGTGTATCTGGTGGATATCACGAGCGTTCATTTATCTGATCGTTCCAGTTAGTTTCAGTCGCTCTTCAAGCGTATATCTGAGCCTATGCTGCAGGTGCACACGACACAATTACTATTTTAAACTTGTATTAAAAAAAAGAAAGCGGCTAAACAATATTCAACAGCACGACATATTTAGAGTTTGTAAAAAAATATACAATTTTACATGAATGTGATAAAAAACACAATCACTGAAGAATGAAAGGGATTTAGAACCGAACTTAAATGAAGAGTGTAAGTAAACAGCAATGGCATGAATTAGATGCATTAGTTGAATTTTTAAAGTTGTAATTAAATTCACAAATTGTAATTAAATTTACAAATAAAGTGACCAACTGACCATGTCTCGCGCTACATGTCTAATTAGAAAAAGGGAAATCGCACGTTTAATAGATTGATAGATGTTACACATATTCAGACTTCTTATGATAAAAATGACATACTGCGTAATGGATGACAATAAACGATACTTGCTGTCAATGAGAGAAAGAAATGTTGCCATTACAGAGCCTTTCACATATGAGAAAAACACGGGGAAAAAACACTCAATTAAAAACGGAGAGAAAAAGAGACTTATAATAGTGCAAAGTTAAAGGCTGTCACTCATACACTCCTACTCCTCAGAACGCACCGGGTAAATTACGCACAAAGAGCAACACTGAAAAATAAACGTTTTACTGCTGCAAGTCTTACAGAGCATACACTTGAATCTGCCCGTATAAACCTATTGGGCTGTGAGTTCCTGTGTCGGATTGGGAGCAGTCGACACCAGCTCCGCGCGCCCCGATGCTGCCGAGGCTTGACTGGAGCTCCTCGTGCTCCGATTGGCTGCCCGCACTGACAGCTCCGCACATGATTGCAGGAGAAGAAGCCCGACCCCTTTCACTCTTGCGAAAGGAACCATTCATAAACTACACAAGTCCAGCTCACAGCTGAGTGTGGACGAAAAAGTGAGCGGGGACGCAGAGGAGAGAATAAACAGCAAGAGGAGATGATGGTCACTGTAGGCGATGTTAGCCTTTAGCGTCTGCAGCCCAGGACCCGGATGGTGACCCGCAGCCTGAATACGACTCTACCTATCGGTGCTGGAAGTGATGTTGGGTTGGACTGATATTTAGCAGGGCTAATACCGTTGCATCCCTATCCGTTTCCTCCTCCTCACGCTGACGTCCATCCGCTGCTCAAAGCCAAACAACTTTTGATCACACACTTTTTCCTGCACGGGGAAGCGTCTGCCTCTGGCTGTACCGGTAAGCATTGGATCCGTCAACTTACTGCGACTCCCCGGTGTACAGCCCGGACCTCTGCCCGAACATGATCGCGACGCAGGCAAAGCTGGTTTACCAGCTCAACAAATATCACAACGAGAGATGCCAAGCTCGCAAAGCGGCCATTGCAAAGACCATCCGGGAGGTTTGTAAAGTGGTGTCGGATGTTCTGAAGGAGGTGGAGGTGCAGGAGCCCCGGTTCATCAGCTCACTCAGCGAGATAGATGCGCGCTTCGAGGGGATGGAGGTCATCTCCCCCAATGAGTTTGAGGTGGTGCTTTACCTCAACCAAATGGGGGTGTTCAACTTCGTGGATGACGGCTCTTTGCCCGGCTGCGCGGTGCTGAAGCTGAGCGATGGCCGTAAAAGGAGCATGTCGCTGTGGGTCGAGTTCATCACCGCCTCGGGCTACCTATCGGCCAGAAAGATCCGCTCCAGGTTCCAGACTCTGGTGGCACAGGCCGTGGACAAATGCAGCTACCGCGACGTGGTAAAGATGGTGGCGGACACCAGCGAGGTCAGACTAAGGATCAGGGAGAGGTACGTGGTGCAGATCACGCCCGCGTTCAAGTGCACTGGGATTTGGCCTCGGAGCGCGGCTCAGTGGCCCATGCCCCACATCCCCTGGCCCGGTCCTAACCGGGTAGCGGAAGTCAAAGCCGAGGGGTTTAACCTCCTCTCCAAAGAGTGCTACTCGTTAACGGGGAAGCAGAGCTCCGCGGAGAGCGACGCCTGGGTGCTGCAGTTCAGCGAGGCCGAGAACAGGCTGCTAATGGCCGGCTGCAGGAAGAAGTGCCTGTCCGTGCTGAAGACTTTGAGGGACCGTCACCTGGAGCTCCCGGGACAGCCGCTCCAAAACTACCACATGAAGACCCTGCTGCTGTACGAGTGCGAGAAACACCCGAGAGAGACCGACTGGGACGAGTCTTGCCTCGGAGACCGACTGAACGGCATCCTGCTGCAGCTCATATCCTGTCTGCAGTGCCGCAGATGTCCCCACTACTTCTTGCCAAACTTGGACTTGTTTCAGGGAAAACCTCACTCGGCCCTGGAGGCTGCTGCTAAGCAGACGTGGAGACTAGCGAGGGAAATCCTCACCAACGCTAAAAGTTTGGACAAACTATAAAGTGATTGTCGAGACAGAGCCGAAGAGACATTTTGGGATAGAAAACAACTTCTGAGGACAAATACGATTCTGCAACTGATTCTCGAAGCAATGTGAATAAAAAAATTAAAAAAAATCAGTAAGAAAAATAATGCAGCGAGCAAACCACAAAACCCTTTTTAAATGGAGCAATTGGGCCACTGCCAGCGAGAAAGTGAAGGTACATTTTCAGATAAATGTAATGACTTTCAGTTGTCTTCTTTAAATGTTTTCACAAAGTGAAGAAACTTTTATTTAAATATATGCACAAAATCGTTAAGTGAAAGAAAAATGTAGCGTGCCAAGTTCAATTTTTTTCATTATGTGACTTTAAAAGAAATGTTAATAAAATGTTGCAAATTAAATTACAACTTGGCCTCGTGTCTTGGCGTGTTTTGACAGCTGATATGACAGGCACATCTGTTGCATTTTATTTTTTGCTATTGTCTGATGAAGAGAATCATTAAATGATTCATTTTGACGAGACAGCTGACCTGGGATCAACACTGGGAAAAGAAAAATGGAAGCGTTTGCTACATTTAAAGAAGGAATGTGCACCGCCGACTTCAGGCCATATGTTATTTTTTTACAGTGACAGGCTCTAAAGGATTTTCGAATGAATGTAAATCAACGGACTCGTGTTAATATATAGGCCTGGGAGCATCTTCTCTGCTTTAACAGCAGCACGCGCACAGGGCCTGCAGACAAACTGAAGCCTTAACCTGATTAATGCAGAGGGTTTTAGATAACGCAGTGCTATCGTAGACACCATTATTGTAGTTTTTTAACAATAGTTACTAAAACAAAAATCACATTCAAATGAATGCGCATGTTATTAAAATCAATACATTTAAATACGCAACTATACATGTTTAAAAACAAATCAGATCATTTCATGCAGTGTTCAACTGAACAAAAACAACCACCTGTGGGTCAGCAGTCTCCCGTAGCTAACATGAAGAATTACCGATATTAGTCCAAATTTTACTTTATCTATTTTTTTTAATCTCAGCCCTATTTACGTGCAATTTATTTATTTTTTTTTTTTAAATCTGTTTACTATGAAAAAAATCCTGATGATTACTAATGGGAAAGCCTGGTCCATGTGCCGTTATGTTCTACCCATATCAAGTTTGATAATTTGTTTATTTATCACAAAAACGGGATTTATTATTCCCACTTAACAATATAAATGTTACATTTACTTTAGAAAATATTCATAAAGAAAAAACATGCGGTAAACAACATTTATTCCCCCATTTCATTTAAAATAGTCACATTGTAACTTCAGACAATACATTAATCTCGTCTTTGACACAACATTACCAGGTGTTCAACACACTCATATCTGCTTTTAAATGCATTTAAAATAGCACGTGGTGGTGAAACATACTGTGTTCGTCAGCAGCCTGCACAGTATTTAAAAGTTCAAGCACGGCTTCAAAACGTTTGACAATTCGAGACGTGATCAATGGAGCTCGAGTCTCTTACCTTTGGATCGATGGCTTTGAAGCCCGGCTCGTCTTCGTCCACCTCGAAGTAGAGCTCGGAGGCGGTGATGGACAGAGTGCCCTTCACCACCACGGCCGGAGCCACCAGCTGAGCGCTGGTGCTCACGTTTACTGGGCCTGGAGTACAGACACATGTCGGTCAGAGAGACAAGCAAACCGTCCTCCTCTCCGAAGTGGAGGGGGGGATTCGCTGCTTTTACGCAGCAAAGGTAAACATATAAAACTCAACAAGGGATTACACTGAGCGGTTTGTTTGCCTGTTAGAAACACAGCGGGGGCCTTCAATCCTGCACGTGGTTAGTTAATACGGATGTTAAGATAAACACGACAATGATAACGATCCTCTGGTTCTATTTTGAAAGTTTAGAGTGATTCTTACAGAAATAATGTTTACATACAACTATTTGCATTGCTATACGGCTACTTCAAACACCGTCAGTAGTTTTTCTCCTGCATAGATAATCTACAATTAATCAATTAGTTCAAATTGAGCTAAGAAAAATAGCTGCCCACTGTATGATACATATCTATCCAAATAACATATTACAGGCCTATGTCTCAAAACTCGCACTAAAATAAACGATAAACAGTGTGCAACTTTGCGACATAATTGTCAGAACTCCACTGTCAGTCAGGACGCATTGATTGCGGGCGGTTGAAAGAAGCTCTGTTTAATCTCTCATCAATCTTAATTTATGCCAGTATATGACAATGAGCGCCCGGCTCAGGGGAGCTGTGGGCTGTTAGCCCTGCCCGGCTCTGCACATATGAGCCATTGTATTTGCAGATGTGCGCTGCGGAGAACCGAGGCTCGGAGCCCGGCTTGATTTCCCTGAGCGCCCGCGCACTCGTGCAAACGGATGGAATACACATACATATATTTATTCATCCCTCTGCCGCTCGTGAACCCCGTGAGTACTGACATGTTATCCGTGGGTTGAAATAACATTTTTTTTTTCCATTTCCATTCAAGTCAAAGACATTCAATTACACCTGAAGCAGACAGCTGCTTAAAACGAGAAGCTGAAGCTCTCCCGACTCCATTCTCACAGTACACATCACTTTATTAGACAGCATTCAACGTTTAATCCTATTGTCCTCCAGTTGCGTTATTATAATAGCACTCTGAACCCCATTAATGCGGCTTAGTCTGGTGAGCGCTGTCACTGCACATACAGAAGAAAAAAATGCGGATTACACTGCAATCCGATTAGCGGACTAAATTATATTTAATTAGGAATCTTTAAATATCAGACGGCTCAAAAGCAACAAAGGACTGGCAACATCATGAGCTGGATAAAGTATAATATAAGGTTGTGTTGACGTCATTTCATCGGGCTCTTGAGGGGAGGTTTTATTTAGGCTATGCTGCAGATAATGTCCCATTCCAGGCTAAGCAGTATCCTGGGATAAACTCATCTACTGCTGGACAGAAAAACATGTTTAGAGAGTTGCTGCTGTATGTTTATGAAGCAGACCTCCAGTGGCAGACAGAAAACTGAAAATACTATGTTTTCACAAGTACTCTGGTGCCATAATGAAAGAGCTGTGTAAGGCTTTCATTCAAGGCTCTTTTTTTTTTTTTACTTGTACAGAAGGCTTCTTATCTAAACAACACACTGATATTAAAACAAAACAGCAACATCATGGGGGAAATATGAAATCCTATGGGAGATGTGGTGCACAAGACAAAGTGCTCTATAACTCACTATTCTCAACAGTGGCACTGCATATGTAGGAATTTCAGCATCATGAAAATGACAACGAGCATGTTTCTTTATTTTGTTTGAGCTGCAGGACAAACAGTGCAGCAGGAGGGGTGAGAGGGGAAGAGAGTGAGCCGTTCCTTTACCTGTTAAGTTCTCCAGGTCCTTCTCCTCCAGGGATGACAGAGTGTCATCGTCTCCGTCAAGCAATGTCTCACTCTCTGAGTTTTGATTTCCCAGAGTCTGGCTCCTGATGGACTGCTTGCCTTTGAGAACATCCTCCTCGGACACTGGAGGGGGAAAGGGGGCATTTCATTTTTAGTATTTTAAGTCATATGCATACAATACATAAAAAATAATTGTACCCCAATAAGCATTTTTTTACTTTATTTTAGTGCACTGTTTGATGGCTTTCAAAGTTTAAATGATCAAATGTTTGAGCAAATTTTATTTTTTACCGAAACAAAAACACCCGATTCAGCTTTTCTCTTTAAAAACAGCAAATCAAAGCAACCATTACAAACAATAAACCACGACAGTGGAAATATTATATTTAGATTGACTAATAAAAAGTGGTTGTGCTCTAATATCAGCCATCAGCTTAATTTCTACCGTCTTTAAACTACAACCACAGTGGTGGTGTGGTAAATAAAGAGAAGGCTGTCCATTCAAATCAGTGATAAGCGTAACAACCTCACATCAAATCAGAATTTGAATTGAATCTATATTTTCAGAATTGCATTCATTTAGCACTCTTCATAAAACAATCGATTTGAGACTAATTATTAAAGTAATTCATGAATTTAGTGAAACATATCTTTGTTGGTTTTCAAAGCTTTTTCAAACAGAAAAAGGTCAGCATTGTTATAAGTATAGCAGGTTTAGCCTCTGATAAAACGATTCACTAAGCACTGCCGTTTAACCTACATTCAGCAGAGGAGCCATGCTGACTTGTGTCGCATTTTCAGACTTCTAGAGCTACGAGCAGGCAGACAAACTGAAAACACGAGGCAGACTAAAGACTGACATGATGCAAACCCTAAATGCATCAAAACAAAACACCATTTAACACAAAGATTAGTCAAACTTTCATTTTAAAACAAAACGAGGGTTCACACACTGCCCGTTTTGATCTCGACTCAACATGACTTGAGGTTCCCAATAGATTATTTAAGAAAAAATGTTAATCTGCAAACATTTACAGAGCCCTGCATTCCCCAGTGGTGCATGGTGAGGATCCACAGACACAAGTCCACAGCACAAAGACGAGCTGGCACGCCCTCCCTCTTTGTAAACATAGCTGGCGAAATAGCCGGAGCTTTCGCTGCTTCTGTGTACGTTTTCTAATCCCGCATTCTGGTAAAAGCAACACAGTTTTAATCCAGTTAGATGCTGAACACACATTTTTTTCCTTCATTATCACCTGAGATCAATTGCACTTCCTACAAATGGACAGCTGTGTCACGTGGCAACATACTTTGAAACTGCTAGAGGAGCTAGGATAAAAAATCTCTTGTCATGGAAAATATGCAGCTCACTGATATTTAGAATGGTCTTCCTGTAATTAAGCCTCCCTGGAGGATTCTTTAGTTAGCAGCACTGAAATTACTACCAGCTCCTCTAATACGTACCACATGCCATTGTATTCACACCAAGCAAGTGGACAGAAGACTTATCACCAGCTTAAAATACAGAGATGTATCTGAACTTCTATGAATTTCACCGTCAACATGCTCAGCAACGCTCAACCCCAAGTACTGTACTGTACTACTAACATACAGTATTAAGCCTTACACATACACAGTCTGACGCAACTCAACCTTCGTACTACTGGGCTGATCCATGCTCCTTCCATTACCCTCAAGCACAAGTTATTATTAGTTCCTCACTATAATATACACTGAAGTAATTGAAACTAAAATACTGACCAGTCAGCTGGAGTGTAGCAAGGAAAGCTATTCTGTTCATGTCACACATAAAAGAAACGTGCAGATAAGTGACAGGCTACGCGCTAACTTCTCACTCTCTGTTCCGAAAGTGGAAAGTGTTTATTTTTTTCTTCATATAATTTGACAAGTCCAAGGTTTTGGCGGGGTTGTGTGTGTGTGTGTGTGTGTGTGTGTGTGTGTGTGTGTGTGTGTGTGTCTGGGGAAT